TCTCTCTCTCTCTCTCTCTCTCTCTCTCTCTCTCTCTCTCTCTGTCTTTGTCTCTTTCTCTCTCTTTTTCCCACTCTATTCTCTTTTTCTATAACCATTATTAACCATTCTATAACCAACAATTAAATTCGCATTATTCAAGTCAATACGATAGACAGAAAGAGAGAGAAAGAAAAAAAAAAGAAAAAGAAACGTTATTTCGATGATTATTAAAAAATAGATTATTTATAATAATATAAAAATTTTGATATTCCCATATTAGGGCCATATGAAAATTAGGACGGCTTTTTTTCCTTTTCTTTTCTTTTCCTGCTTTTCTTTTTTTTTTTTTTTTTATTTTTTTTTCTTTTTTATTTTACTTTAAGACGCATTTCACTTCATAAGAATGAAATTTATAAATTAATAAAAAAAAAAAAAAAAAAATGAAAAAACAATACCACGAACCTTTCAAATTAATCTCGTAATACTTTATATTAGGATTTTCTTTATCTTTATATATATAGATTTTTATGTATAGATAAAGCAATTGAACTTATTTAATGATAAAAAATTTTTGTATTTCGTGTGAATCAATTTTAATACGATCGGGAATATCCTTCATTTTTTGTTTTTTTTTTTTTTGTCTTTTTTATACTCATAAATTTTTAAGGATTCACGATAAGGGAGAAAAATAAATATTATAGTAAAATATTTAGATGTGTCGTTAAAACTTCAATGCGTGTATATGTTATTAAGCGCACGTCCCTCTTCTTTTTTTTTTTTTATTTCTTTATTTTTTTCCCCTTTTATATGACGTCGACGACATCGAGATATTTTCGAGAAAAGTATTCTTAGATAAAATATTATCATCAGGCTTATACACAATTCGAGCCTGATGAAACGCCGCAATATATTTGTATTTTGTTTTACGACAAACCAGAAAAATACAAACGATAGCGCAAATACGTCGATCTCGTATATTTTCCAAAAAGGAAAATGTAAAAAAGTATGAAAAATATGATATGCCCTTCTTTTTCTCGTTTAACTAATATTCTTATAATCTTAATTTTTTTCTTTGTCATATATTTCTTAATTAGATAATTGTTAGGATATTATCAAGAAATGTATAATATTTTTACACGATCATATAAAATATTAATAAGCATTAAAAAAAAAAAAAAAAAAAAAAAAAAAAAAAAAAAAAAAAAAAAAAAAACAGAGAAAAGAAAAGAAAAAAAAAAGAATGAAAAATATATTTTTTGAATTGTACAAATTAATAATTGATCACACTCTTCCAAATTTTAATTAATAAAAATCTAAATTATTCACGGATGAGATATAATAATTAATAAAAATCTAAAATATTCAGGGATGATATATAATGTCAACTAAATTAGACATAGAAAAGAAACGATCGACAATGCTAATGACTTAAAATATTATTGATAATTGTTAAGAAATTATAATTATTAAACAATTATAATTATTAAGAAATTGAGTAATTTAAAATACATCATTAATTTGTTCATTCATTCATTTATTTATTTATTAATTTATTTATTCATTCATACGTTTTATTAAGAAAAAAAAAAATCAATTGTTATAATATAATTGAATATATCTTTGTCATTTGTTTTGAATAATAACAGATGAATAATAACACATAATTAGAATAATAATAATAATAATAATAATAATAATAATAATAATTATTATTATTATTATTATTATTATTATTATTATTGTTATTATTATTATTATTATTATTATTATTATTATTATTATTATAATTATTATTATTATTATTAGCACTGTTCTATATCATCAAACTGTTAAAAACGAGTTTCGCATAAGTTTCGAGCTCGAATTAGGGATGTTCTCTATCCATATTGGAAAATATTTCTGAGCTCGAGGCGTTATTGTGTTTCACATCGTTGTAATTATAATGAGAGAGATTCGATCCGTTACGTAGCACGATAGGCTCTGAAGCTGATGTTAAACTCATCGCCATAAGGCTCATATGGATTAGATCGAACGAAACCCTATAGTTATAATACATATATTCACTCTACGGTTTGTTGATATTTTATTAAACGTTCAAAGTTAATTATCTCCATCTAATTATGCTTAGATTTCGCTAGCCTAATAATTCAACGTAGCAGAAAAAGTAAAGAGAAATTTTGTTCTTTACCTTTTAGAGTTAAATCTTTCGTTTGTTACTTTCTTTTTTCTTGTTCTATTTTTTTTCTTTGTTTTTTTATTTTTTTCTTTTCTTCCATCTTTCATTGAACGAACCCTTTGAACGAAATTGAAAATCAACTGACCGGAGGTAAAAATTTTGAAAGATTTCTTTTTTTATTTTTAGGGAAGGAGTCCAAAGAAAATCGGTTTCCTGATTGCCATGGTTTGGATTGTTTCTTTGGGAATTTCATTGGCACCCCAATTTGGTTGGAAAGATCCAAATTATTTGGAACGTATAACAGACGGTGAATGTCTCGTTTCACAAGATCCAGCGTATCAGGTGAGCTACTAATATAATATTATTAAACTAGAGAAGAATTTATATTCCATAAATTCTATCGAAGACAAAGTTTATATTCTTTCCGAAGCGAAATTTATATTCTATCGTCAAAAGACCTACATTTTTCAAAAACTCGATGAGTTTTCGAATCGAATTATAACCGATAAATCGTTGACCTGTTCGTTCGTTCATCGATTACGGAGAAAGTTAAGAGAAATGGCTCGATTCGAAACTTAATGAGAGGAAAAGAGAGAGAGAGAGAGAGAGAGAGAGAGAGAAAGAGAGAGAGAGAGAGGGAGGAAGAGAGTGGGGGAACAAAAAGGAAGGAAAACCGAACATAGCGTAGATATTCGACGTAACTCGTATTTTTACTCTGGCGCAAGAAAATGGCTAAGGGAGGAGAGATAGAAAGAGAGAGAGAGAGAGAGAGAGAGAAAGAAGAGAGAGTGACAGAGAGAATGAGAGAAAGAGACAGCTTATGAATTATCCACAAAATCCGATAATGGGAATTATATCTCAACGAAATTCTCGAAGGTATATCTCTAAATCATATACATGTATAGGGTGTCTCTAAAATATATAGGTCACATTGCAAACTTTGGAACATATCATATTCGTCTTGAGAATTAAAATTATTTATTCCATTTATTTCTTATAACTCCTCGCACCCGATTACATATATATTAATATTAATATTAATATTAATATTTCAATTTAATCCTTTTTTCGTTTGAACGAATGAAAAAAAAAAATTAATAAAATTAAAAATATTATAAGGGACGTATGGTATTATAAGGATTTTTAGTTGAATAATCTTTTTTTTTTTTTTTTTTTTTTTTTTATGTGAATGATTTTTTTTATAATGACATTTATTTTTTGGTTTATTTTTGCTATCTTTAAAATAAAAGCACTGTGTATATTTTTGCTCATTCGTTTGGCGTAATACGATAATCTTTACTTTGAAAAAAATTCCAACCAAAAATCATTTACGACAAAACAGCGGATTCGAACGTCACAAACAAATTTCCAGTATTTCATTTTTGTATTCTTTATATCTGAATATTTCATCAAAAGACAATTGGAGCATAATCGAACTAGCATCGAGTCGAATTAAACACAAGAATTCTCGCTTAAAGGAATTGCGTACGTTTCATGAAATTGAAAAAGTCGAATTCATCCCCAGTATCTCTCGATTATTATGCATTGGGTTTAACCCCCCCTTTATTATGGAGGATTAAGAACCCTTGTTCTTTCTCTCTCTCTCTCTCTCTCTCTCTCTCTTATCTTTTTTTTCTTTCTTTACTCCCCTCCTTCAATTTTCTCTAAACGAAAAGAGATCAACTTTTTGCGCGTCCCACTTTTTCAGATTGATCTCATTCAAGCCCGAAATATTTAGCGCATCGACGAGGTAGAAAAAAAAAAAAAAAAAAAAAGAAAACAAAATTTTCCCTCTTGTTTAATCCTTCATAACATCATGTAATTTTAAAATCGTACGAACATATTTATCTTTCGTATTCATGTTATATTAATATTATACTAATATCATACAAATTTAACATTACGTTTCATATTTTTATCATAAAATTTACTTGTTACTACGTATTCGAAGATCAATATTTGCCAAATACAAATTTTACCGAGTATTGTAAATATAAATTGTACTAAATATACTCATTCTTATAATTATAATAATAATAATAATAATAATATGTATATATATATATATATAAAACTATATGTTACTTTTTTCAACGTGAAAAATAAAAGTTTGAGTCGTATAAAATGACATATTGGATTTATGTTACGACTTGCAAAAATACTGCCGGGTAGGAAATATAGAGAGAAAACAAAAATCGAAAACAAAAAAAGAAAAGAAAAAGAACAAAACAAAAAAAAAAACAAAAAGGAAAAAAGTGGAAAAACGGAAAGAGACCGAGAGAGTAAGAGAGAGAAAGAGAAAAAGAGAGAGAGAGAGAGAGAGAGGGTGCGTATTTTGGTATTTACTTTGATATTTCGTTACATAGAACGCAGGAGAAGTTGAACTCGGTAATAGAAATGTACACGTAGTAGGTACCCACATACTTTGGCGACACTACGAAACGAAGTTGGGCCGGTTTGAAAGCACGCTACTGCATCGACGAATGGTTTGCCTTGAATAAGCAAAGAATTGGACAGTTTACTAGGGTGTCGGGGGACGTGAAGAAAGGGGTGGGATTGAGGATGAGGGGACTAGAGGTGGCTGGACACCAACTCGGTAAAGTGGATGGAAGCCCTCCATATCTGGCAGTCGAGCCAGACAAACGGCATTCGTTAGCGGCCATAACTTTCACGAACCACCGGAACTCGTATCTCTCTCTCTCTCTCTCTCTCTCTATCTATCTATCTATCTATCTATCTATCTATCTCTCTCTGCCTTTCTATCTATCTTTCTTACTTTTTCTCTTTTGATACTACGATAGAATTAAAAATCATAACGACAACGTTGAAAAAGGAAGGTACTACTACTAACAAAAGGAAAAAAAAAAACGAAAAAAAAAAGAAATAAGGAAAAAAGAAAAAAAGAAAAAACAAAAATTAATTAAAAACAAACCTACAAAATGAATAATTATAAATAATATAATTATATAGAATATATTCGCGATTTTTCTTCTAATGTAATATTACTTTTCCTTTTTACGACATATTTTTCTGCATAAAACATACAAATATATATACATATATATATATATATATGCAAGTTTATCCAGAATCCTTAAATACGTGTCCTACGTAGAAATGAAAAAGGATATAAAACGTTATTTCCAACATGATATAAATATCTGTATTAATTTATTCTTAACTATAGCCATGTCTTTAAAGACAAAAAAAAAAAAACAGAAAAACAAAAAAGAAAAAGAAAAGAAAAGTTTTATTAGAAGTATCGTTCTCCCGTGAAAGTTTATTTCTCACCTCATTAACGTGGCGAAGTTTTATTGATAAAAAAAAAAAATTCGTTAAATAAAACTGTCATAAAAAAAAAAAAAAAAAAAAAAGTATATGCGTGCGTCTCTGTGTAAGTTATCGAATATTTGCAAGATAAGTTCGCTTCTGTGGTAAGTTTGAGGAAATTAGAGTGAAAAGAAAAAAAGAAGAGAAAAAGAAGAAAGAGAGAGAGAGAAAGAAAGAAAGGGAAAAAAAGGGGGGAAGAAAAAGAAGAGAAGAGAAACATAAATAAATTCGTTTAATTTCTTTACAAAAAGGAAAAAAGAAAAAGGAAAATGAAAGAAGAAATAGTCCCAATAGAATATTCTTTGAGATATGGAATTTGTTTAACTTGTTAAAATCCCTCTCTCTCTCTCTCTCTCTCTTCCCCTATCTCTGTCCATCTTATCCTTATTTCTCTCTTTCCATAACCTTTTTCTCTGTTCGTTATTAAAACGATAATCTCTCTCTCTCTCTCTCTCTCTCTCTCTCTCTCTCTATCTATCTCTCTATCTATCTATCTCTCTATCTATCTCTCTCTATCTATCTCTCTCTGCCTGTCTATCTCTTTCTCTCTTTCTCTTTCTCTCTTCGGTATATACGAACGAGCTGGTGTACGACTTTTAAGAAGCGTTCTATTTAACGTCACCGGTGAAAGTAGCAACGGGCATCGTTTTTTTCTTTCTTTTTCTTCTTTTTCCTTTTTTCTACTTCGTCAAAGCGAATACGCGAACGTTAAAAAGGAAAGAAGAGAAGTTCGTCGTTCATGATAGAAGCGAACGCGGTTAACAAGCTCGATATCCTTTCAATTAGAGCAAGGATAAGCTTTATAGAGGCTGTAAACGAGTGAGAGGAAGCAAACCTACGTAACACTCCATAAGCTTATTAAAGGATAGATTTTAATGCAACGAACTTTATCTCTTACTTATCGTTGAACTTATAGACCGAGTAAGAGAGAAGGTACAACGATATAATAGGTAATCCGGATACTTCTCTCTCTCTCTCTCTCTCTCTCTCTCTCTCTATTTCTCTTTCTTTCTGTACTATATATATATGTCTTTTATTATCTCTATCTCCTATCTCTATCTCTCTGAAGCTTCCTTCTCTTTCTCCATTTGCTTCTTCCACTTCATAGACTCAACAGTAGGGGTAGAAAATTCCTGTTAAAGTCGTGGATTTCTACTTAAGAGACCCCCAACTTTGTGGACGAGGATAGATTCTAATAGCTAAATCGCATGAATAATTCAGCTTTGAGGATTGCTTGAAACTTTAAAGCTGTGCTTCTCAACACAACAGAAACGAATACATATACATATATATATATATATATATATATATATATATATATATATAGATGTGCGTGCGTGTATGTGTATTCTTCAATCGGATTAAGTATCTATGGTATAGTGACTATACTTCCATTACGATCCAGTAATCTATATATATAGATATTTATATATATATATATATATATATATATATATATCCTATGGGGGACTTAAGTATTCGTACAGAATAGGAATTTATTGTATTTCCATCTGTCCAAATTCTACTATACGAATACTTAAATCCCCCACTGTATATATATATATATATGATATATATATATATATATATATATATCATATATATACATATACATAGGATTCTTTTCGTTTTAAAATACTCACGGTTAATAAAATTGAATTCGCCGTTGATAAAATAGTCGAGAAGTTAAAAAAGCGAATTTTTTTTTCCCAACCCCCTTCCTCGGAATCTATCGATCTCGAGATATCTATCTATCGTTCGAAGATCAACGGATTAATAACTTAGTTTGTCATAATACGAAATATCGAATATTAACGGAGTTTGATTCGATTATTTCTGACTGTATATATCTCTTCCTTCTCCTCTCTTTCTCTCTCTTTCTCTCTCTCTCTCTCTCACTGCTTCTCTCTTTTCGTTTGTCACTTGGATCCTCCTTGATCCTCTTCACGGTAACCGCTTAACCGAGAGCAGAGCTAAATTGGATTTTTGTTTGATGTATTCGAAATCGAGTT